TTTTTTTTTTCATTTTGACATCTTTATTTGTTGCTATGAATTAATTCTCACAGAAATTGTCGTTAAGGAAATATTTTTGTTGTAATTCTGACAATTATAAATTTTACACAAAAAATACAATACATTTTTGATACAGTAATATCTGTCGCTGCATTTTTTAGAACTGTAGTGTTAGAAGTTGAAATTCAAACTTGTTAGTAGTGCTTAGTAAGACTTTGAATAAACAAATTCTTGCTTAGAAGAGTTATTTTTTGTTGTAAAGAGCGATTCTAAAAGTGTTCTTGAGCTATTGTTGCAACTTTAAAAATATCTTGACAACGACTTTCTAGCTGTAGAATCTAGAGAAGTAACCTTTATAGAAACACAGCATTCTGTTTCATCTAGTAGCTTTTTATGTTTTATCAACAATTTTTTGTTTTATTGACCGGAAAATCGAATCCAGATGTTTGCCAATTCCAGTTACCAACAATAGAACAACCTTTATTTGAGCAGCTAATAGAAATGATAGCATCAAAAAACATTTTTGGAACAAAGATATGATAAAATCTGATGCCAAATTGACTTGTAAAGCATAAAAATCCTAATTTAATAATAAATATTGGATTAAATAACAAGTTTTTGTACAGGTGTTATAAGTAACTTTATAATCTTTTAAAAATTATCTTTCATACGTATAGAAACTATAAGTTGAAATTGACGTATTTTGCAACGTCATAATATTTGATGGAAAACTTTTGAAACGTCGTACAGTAAGAAAGCACCACATTCATTACTGCTCAAAAGATTGAAAAAATATTTTTCTGTTTATAACTCGATTATGACGTAAATTTGTAATTTAGGGGACACACAGAGAAAAAAACTGTTGAAGACATTGTTTATAACGGCATTACTGACGTTGGCTTCAAGATGTATCTACGGTGTAGCAGTTGTAGTACCAGATATTATGAATGTGAGCCGCGAACTTGAACGAGTAATAGCATATTACATTGCAATCAGCGTTAACATTAGTGTATCTAGCAACTATTTTCTACACTATTTTTGCAGGTAACAGTCATAATTGCTAATCTTAGCTGACAAAAATAATTTATTTTTTAATGAATCAAAGAAAGAAAAAGCTGTATTAATAAACAGTTTATTCCTAAATTTTTTTCCGTCTAGACGATTAAGATTTTTAATGCATAAAATTTTGCTGCTTTCAAAATCACAAATTGAAAGACTGTTTTCCTCTCTATATTTATTAATAATTTTTTCACCTACCTTTAACCAGTTCAAAATAAAGATTTCCAGTTTTATATTGCTCCTAACAAAAAATAAAGCACTCTTTTTAATTAAGAATGAGAATGACCTTTGACATTTAAAAGATTTATTCTCTGCAGTGCACTAAGTGCAAGAGTCACAGCAAGCCGCGATATTGTACTGTACACTTTTCATCACGTTATACCGTAATGTGCTTCCAAGATTATAACATCTAGCTTTAATCTCCGTAAACGCCACTTCATGTTAGCATTTTTAAAAGTTCGCTTGACACTCCAAACCAATATAGTGGTGAATAAAGAGATTTTGAAGGAAATGAACTGACTGGATGATAAATAAGTAAAAAACTTCTAAACGTTTCGGCAGTTATAATCCTTTCGCGTTTGTCACCGTAGTTTCCAAGGATTTCGCAAAAGAAATAAAAGTTACAAATTATGACGTTAAACGAAAAGAGTACAAGGACAATTAGACAAGATGTTATTACAATAGGCAATAGTGGTTGGAAAAACTGGTCGCTAGAATGAAAATTTCGCGTACCATTTTGCAAACCTTCTTGGAGAACGTATCTTCCGTTAAGATTGTTCTCAAAAGTATTTAATATGTTTCAGTTTAGCTGCTTAAAAGTTCCTGTCAGACCATGCTGCAAATGTTTCGATCTCTAATCCGGTTTTTTACTTTTTCACATGGTATTATCTTGGAGGCCAAAGTTTGCTGCTCTTCTCATGGTCAAAAAACTAGTTTACGTTTGATCCTTTCGCCCATTTTCCGCCTTTGATTTTCAGATTTGGTTGCAGTACTCTCAAGCACCTCAACTGTCACTTTCTTGTTAGCAGGTCTATTAGTGGCTTATAGAAGTAATTACGGCTGTAAATCCCAATTGGACACTCCGCGTAGCACTTTATCCTTAGTCGGTGATTGTAGCGGATAAAAACAGGCTAAATATTTCTGCTAAAATATGCCACGCGAACACTTTTCTGCGGATTTGACAACAACATCTGCTTGTAATAGCAAGAATTGTGCTGTTTCTGTTACATTGCGTTTCCTTATAAGACATATGAGGTTTTTAGATAAGATGCTAATTTTTTTTTCATTTCTGGCGTAACCTTGGATCCGTTTTCCCCAAGAACTTTTGTACTTCTACGTAGGACTCCCTTTAAATGATTTGTGAGTTTCTGATTTCTACTTTCTCGTTTTCAAAAGTGTTGATTCCTACTCCCAGATACGGTGCTTCCCCACACGGGTATTTCGACGCATTCTTATATGTACAATTCTACAGTGGATTTGTAGAGCGCGATTGCTTCGAAAAAATGTCGTAGGATTACAAACTGTTGGCCGGCCCATTCTTATAAAATGGTTTTGACTTGTTTTATATTTGCTTGACCCAATGTCTCGTTTCAATTTCTTCATCGTTTCTGCGGTTCTTCTAGTAAAACTTTCGTGCGTAAGATGACTGGCGTTATGAGGCTCCAGAGATCATATGCCTTCGCAATATTATCGTTTACTGGTTGCAGATATGCCGTTTTCCATGTTCCAAAAAATGCTGAAGAGTCTTTCTTTCCTAGTTTCCGGAGCCAAAAGTTTTCAAAGATGCGTATGTGTATCGTTTTGATCGTTAGAGACGAATCCGCGTACATTCGTTTCCGCTAGATAAAACAAATATTATGACTGTCTAGTTTCTTCTCCTGCTTCTATTTTTGAACCAGCATAGAATAGCATTTTACCTTATTAAGTATTCCTAACGAGTATCTCTTCTCTGTTAGTGTGTTTAAATCTCCTTCGAGACCGGTGTTGAGGACTAATCTGAAGGGAAAGGGACCATTAATGATTGCAAATAGGATTCTCGGAATCGGGAAATGACGGGACTGACGAGCGTCAAGGGTTTTCCAACGCCTTTCATCACAGACGAATCTTGTGCTTTCTCGATCCTGCCTTTGTAAACCAAGATTGGCAAACGCTTTCTTGGCGTCCTTGATGATCACAATTCAAAGCGTTGAAACCGCGATATAATACCTATTATAAGAGGAAGAAACTTCTCGAAAAATACGTCACTGGGCAAAAATTTCTCAGCTTGCTTTCATAAAGTGTTGAAAACGACTTTTTTTCCAGCAGTGCTGTGATGATGTTTTCCCGTTCCTGGTCAACGTGAGATGTAGTAAAGTGGATATTACGCTTTTCTGCAGCCGTTTGGTCATGGCATCTTTTGTAAGGTTTCTTCAATTTTGGGGTATTGCGAGGTCTTCTAGCTGTACTTCGAATCCTGCCGATGGAAGTCTCATAGTTATCGTGTAAGGACAGTGCTGGATTTTTTCATTGTTATCCAGTTCAGTAACTCCCGTTCAAACTGGCTGCGAGTGTTGCGAATTCTGTTAAAGAATGCTAACGAGATTTGGTGTTTACGATGATTGACCTCAGATATTATGGTCTTAATGGCGCTAATATTTGACAAAAAGTTTATAGTAAAATGTTCCCGTTTGCCGTAACGTATTAGGAACTGCACCAGACAGACCTCCCAAGCATCGGGAAGTTGATCGCATTTTCATTACCAAGTAAAGAATGTCTTTCCGTAGTTACTTTTTCATGCTTCATACATTTTAGTTCGGAGTATCGGAGTGCATTTCGCAATCAATTTCGAATAAAACCGCGTCAGACAGCGCCATACCGATTAAAAATTACAGATGCAGCTTACAGTCATCGACGAAGCACAATAAAATCGTTGAGAATATGATGGATCTTTTAACTCGTAGCCGCAGGCATATAATAAAAGTATGTGGTTTTCCATGGTATAATCGAAAAACATTTACCTACCGCTGCTAGTAAAGCTACCTAAGAAATTCTGCTGTTTTCCACCTCTAAAACCATATTTTTCATTGGTTACTGATCTCATATTCGGAAGTTTTCAAAATAGAATTTTTACTGAATTTACTTTTGATGTTCTTTAGATGTTTGGAGACGCTAAAACGAAGTTTCCGAGTGAGCTAATTATCAGTGACGCAGCACCAAAAACTGCCCTATTTTAAAGCACTAACCCGCACCGTTTCTCGAACGAAGAACAGTTCAATACCCTACTTGTTCAAAATCACCATTAAATTGGTCATACAGTATCCAAGCAAAGCTAGGATCTCCTCCTTCCTCATCCCTTCAGATCCCTCCTGAAACTTTTTTTCTTTTGAATACCTGAACCTAATTGTCTAAGCAGTACTCATCTAAATGTTTACGACCAAAATAACGTTTGGAAGAAATGGCTGTTGACGAATCATCTTTACGATATGCAGGTTTTAAACTGCAAGTTTTTACTGCTAAAGAAAAAACATGCGAATTCTGAAAAGTATACAGCAGTTCAACGTCGTGGTCTGGATTTTGCTGATATACTTAGCAAACTTTAATATGACAGGAGACTAATAAATTCAAATGACAGAAGAAACGTATGCATCATGGAGATCAAATTAAAAGATTGTTACAGCAGCATACCGAACTTCAGTATAATGAACGGAAAAACAGCACCGTTTAAACTTTTAACGTTTTACAACACTAAATGGTATTTTGTAGCACAAGTGTTATAATTTCTTGATTATTTATAAATAGTTTTACCATTTTCAAACTTAAAGCGCTTTGTTTAAGGCGCAAAAAGTACTACTGCCGGATTACAAGTAACTGTCATTATATACAGCCAACGCATATTATGAGTGAAAAAGTCATTAAAGTCTATTCATTAAGAGAAGAAAACAATCAAAAAATTTACAGAAAAAACAGCCTAAGAAACTATTATGATTGATTGCCTCCTGATTTTGAGGAAAAAAAAGCAAATAAACAAAAAACTAACAAATTTTTAAACCTCAAGTTAGTTAGTCTCCTATAAAGGATTTATCAGTCGTTTTCGGCATCTCAATACCCATTTAGACTACGTAAACCTAGTGTTACAATGGGAGGCTTAAATAATAGCCTTGTGAATTTTTAGCAACAACTATCAGTGAAAAAAGTTATGAGTAGCCCTCCAAAACTGCAACCAAGTTGCCAAAAGATTTGAGCTGTAGGGCCCTAAGCAGAAGCTGCACAGCAGCATTCTCTAGAACATTAAAAACAAAAGCTTTAATCAGCTACTTAGCTTATTTACTACTAAAACCTTCAATTACAAAAAATTGAAGACAAATTTTCTTAACTTTACAGATGAATCTTTGACAAAATCATTTTAAAGGCACCATGGAGCAGAAGCACTTCAAAAAAGTTCAAAAAACTCTAGGGTACATCTCTATTTGCCATATTCTTAAATAAATTTGTTGAATACACTAATTGCCAGTTTTAGAAATAAAATAGCTTAAATAATTATTGTCGTACAAATGAGATCAAACAGATGATAAAACGGCGTTCCTTATCAAGCGATATGTTCGGGTCAATTCGCCCATGCCTGTCTTCAAACCATTACTTACATATGCTATAACTATTTCATTGTCCATATCCATCATAACGTTACTTCCACCGTATCCTGGATGTCCAAATAGCCATGCACCCTGAATAGTATTATCTTCAGCCTCTGTGCGTTACTTCCAGTAAAAAACCGCACTAACGCTTTTCTAAACTTCAAAACACTTCTAAAGTCCAGTTAACTGTTGAAAAGTCCAACCTTTTTATAAGGATGTTTTTCGTAGTAAAAACCATGTCCCTTAGCCATTGGTGCCAAAATCACTTCATCAAGAACGCTGGAAATTTGAGGTTTTTTGTATAGTGATAAAGTTTCGTTTGATACCAGTTTACGACTCAAGAATAGCGCAAAAAGTTTGCCAAGATCACGAGCTTTAGTAATTCCTAGCGCTGCCACTTGCTCCATTCGATGTACTTCTGGATCGTTAAAGGAGATTTTATTCTAAATAACATAAGTATTAAATAATATAAGTATTAAGTCCGAAAAGTTATCAGAAAAAATTCGTAAATTTTAAATAAAAAAACTTTTTAGTATAACTAACTCTAATTTGTTTATTCCCAACAAATAAATAATTAATTTTTGTTGATAATGTAATATTTTGATGAAAAAACTTACACTTTCAAGTTTGAGCCAATCCGGATTTCCTCGTACTTTCCAAGCGATTGAATTTGGTGGTCTTAGGTTTAAAATTCCAAGCATTACCAATATCCGAGGATCATATAACACTTCTTTCATCAAATGTAAATTAGATGGCAGCGACAAACGTGAAACTGTATGCTCTTCACTTGTTGGTAGTCCGATATGGAAATCAATTCCTAGAAAAAAATGTTCCATAAAAAGAAAATGTTGTCATAAGACTTTTAATTAACTCGTAGTTGAAATATATAAACAAAAAGTGTAAACGATCCGGTATTGAAATACCGTATGGAACAGCAATCTCCTCTCGGAAAAACCGTCCGATTCCACGTTTCAATGGATCTGCCCTGCGAACAATCTGGTCTACTAGCCAGCCGTAGGTTATAGCATGATAACCAGATTTGGTGCCTAAAAATTGAAAATAACCTAAAAAACTGTTTACCAGTTCCATCACATGCATATTCAACAAATCTGCAATCATAATTTCAGACCATTATAAAAGTAAAAACAATGTATTAATTAGCACTAATCAAGTCAAACAAGACTTAAACAGCAGAAGTGACATATGTTTATGACTAGATAAAAATGGCTTGAAATACCTGGAATCCAGTTAGGTTTTTGCTTCTCAATAATTTTTGCAATCCTTTCAGGGTCAAATGCATCACTCTTTGAAATTGGTTCATCAAATGCAGCAAGACCTGCCTAAAATATTGAAATTTACTATTGTTTTTTTTTGCCAGTTAGAAGAACGAAGAATGCTAAGCAAACTTATTTGACTTAGACAAGATAAAATATAACAGAATATCTGCAATAATTCTATACAGAACAGTGAGAGAGACAAAAACTTACCCTATGGGACATAACCCAATCAATGGTTATATTTTCTTTACCGTTTTGAGCAAATTCAGGCCAATACTGAGAGACTTTATCAGAGTATTGTAAGTGGCCGCGATCGACAAGCATTCCGATACATAAAGCCCCAACCGCCTTAACATTTTACGAAAGTAGCTTCGAAGAAGCGTATTAAAAAAAAGATATCATTAAGACAGATACAGCCCAAACATTAACACCTCTTATTATTCACATTTTGTAGCTACTATGCTATACACTAACTTTGCTGGCTGAAAAAATAACGGTTCGCGTCTCCGGAGTCCAGGGTCGAAGAGAACTGGCATCCGCATAACCACCCTGAAGGTCTACGACAAGTTCACCCTTATGATAAACCGCAAGTGCCGCTCCTTCACGTTCCCAACCATCGTGAAAATTTTTTCTGAACATACGCAAATATATACATT